AAGATTTCTCCAAATGAGGCCGTCTAGAATATAATTAGTGAAGTTGGCGTTCAGATTTTAGCACAAAAAACGCAACACAAACCACAAACCACCCAGATAACATTTTCCAGGGTTGGTACTCAAAATTAAGGAGTCATAGCCAGCTTTTTGTTGGTACTCACTGATATCAGGGGGATTTTTGCCTCCATTAGGCCTGCAGTCTGAGGGCTATAATCTTCAGTTCTGACCAAACAAAATGAGGTTCTTGAGGGTCAGAGCTCCAGGGCTCATGCAGTTTCAAAACTGAGCATTAGAGCTGGTTAGCATTCTTTGCCTTGTTTTGGTATTATATTGGTGGCTTCTTCCTTGGTTACGTTTAAATATAAACTGTTCAACATTTTGAAATTTAATGCAAAAAACGGAACCTTTTTCAAAAAGAAAAAAATATCCATGAAATCGCCATTTTTTTCAGCTAGCAGTCATAAGAGCCATATAGAGAATTCTAAGATTTTCCTTCTGAATGTAGAGAGAACTGACTAAATAACTCCTTTCCATTGGTCTCCTTTGATGTTAAGTAAAGACGCTTATGCTTAAGTAGCCTTGAGATTATGACAATGTACCCAGGCTGCTTTTTAAAATACAGATGCATCAAACATAGATATTTACTACTAGATAATCTGGCAAGACATAGAACAACCTTAGTAGAAAATAATGAACTAGTTACTGATTTATTTACAAGATTAAAATCAAAACCCAGAAAGAAGCCCATGGAACTTTTATGGTTAAAAGTTAAGTACATTCTTAAAATTAAAAAGTAGAAATGTCTTGTATTCCCATTTCAGGTTAATGTGGCATTGCTGATGTTTCATCCTATTTCCCTTGTTGTTTTGGGAGGCACTTTTCAGTTTGTTAACTTGCCATAGTTTTCATGGTGAGATTTTTTTTAATCATAGGAGGCAAACAAATTTTTCTAAATAAAAAACTGGGTGGTGGTTGCTTGGTTCTTGTTATGATGGACATCAGTGATACAGGAAATTCTGGCAAACATTTTCATCTTCCAAAAGTTAATGATAGACCTCTACTAACATGAGCAAATGGTGCAACTTTCTTATTACAGCAATGCCAGGAGTCAAGCCCTGATCGAATCACACTCTATGGGTTAATGATGAAACCCATACAGCGCTTCCCACAATTCATTCTTTTGCTTCAGGTGAGAACTGTTCCTTTTGTATTCTGTCAATACTCAAGCTCTGCTGGGATTATGTAGGATCAATGGTGTGCTAAAGCAGCACATGGAAGTAGGAGCTATTCTTGACTTCGGGGAACACATATGAATGCAAATTTTAAGTGTGCAAGTATAGTTTCCAAATCCGGGTGCAGTGTTAACCAGTAGATGTATTGCAGGAACAGGTTACTAGTGTGAAGGCCTGGGCAGATGATTCATTTAAACCAGAGCAACTGGCTGTTACATGAAGGAGCAGACAGTGTAAATCCAATGTTTATCTATCATTCAACTGTGGGAATTTTGTCCCCTGAAAGAATCACTGCAGGTGTTGTCTGTCCACAGACTACTGTATGCTTAAGGCAAATAAGTTGTCATTTGCTCCCCAGGACCTTGCAATAATATGCTATGTTGACTGTGGCTGCTGTTACTTTGCACAATTAACCTGACATAACTGCTTGTCTACTTGCTCCTGGTCTTGCTATTATTTACATTGGTGTGCAAAACCAATATAAATTATGCCAACATAAATATGTTATCTGTAAAGTTTTGGATGCTTTACTTTTGCAGGTAAATAAATAGATCTTTAGATATTCTTTATGTACAAAAGCTTTTGTCACGAATTAAAATACCTATGGGTTGCAGTTCTCATTTTAAAGGCAGGCTATACCACATTCAGATAAAGGACCAGTTGTTCTATGAGGGTGAATGTGAGAGAGCTTGCGAGTCATCGCGCAGTGAAGCTGAAGGTCTTTCTGTATAGCTCTGAATTATTGTTCTTTTTTTGGTTGTAATTTCTAAGACCCCACCTAAGAGCTGGTACCATTGTTCTAGTTGCTGTTAAAAAGGCATTTAAGAAAATGCAGTGCCTATACCCCTCCTTGGAGAATTTAGAATCTAAGAACATAATCCAGATGAGAATTAATGGCTAGGTATATATACGTAGGTAAGTGAGGAAGAATATAGACAGGTGTCTAATGGGATTTTCCAAATGGCCTAGGCATTGTGAGAGTTAATGTCTGAATACATTGAAAATATTAATAAGCATGTATAGCTTAACATTTTTAGGCACCGAATACAGACCTGACTTTTCACCACATACCTAAATGAAACTATTTATCAGCTTACCTTTAAGCGCTTGGCGGGGCCTGGGGGCAAAAGAAACAAAAACAAATGGAGTAAGAAGCAGATTATACCATATAATACCACATGATGGACACAGATCATGTTAGTTCCAGGTTCCTTTTTCCTCTAAAGTTGTAGTGGAGAAGCTAATATCACAATATACACAGCATTTACATACTTCATAAATTTCTATATGCATACTTTATTGCATGTGATTTCTTTTTAACCTTTAACCAAATATCTGCACAACATAGCTGCCATGGTTATGTAGCAAGCTTTCTTTCCTTTCTTATCTCTCTCTGAGTGAAATTAGATGTTGCAGTTTGCAAGTGCCAAGTGTAAGAAGTGTTAGCTGGTGTTAAGGTTATTATGAGCTAATGATCAGTGGCATGTTATGGGTTAATACCCTCTCAAATGTACAATACTCACTAGCCCTCTAATGGCAAGTCTAAGCAGAGGCATGTTTGGCCTGGCTGTCCCTGCTCTAGAGCAGGGAGGAGAGCAGTGTGCCTGGAGGCACAGCAGCATGGCAGGAGGTGGAAAAATATAGATGTGGGGCATGGGGGTTTTATGTAAAAGTTAGTTATTTAAAAACCGTTTGTTTGATTGAAATGAAATGAGATAAAAAAAATTAAGGACTCTAAACACACGTGGTTCAATAAATTACAGGTGGTGGGAGAGGCCCAGGCCCCCCAAGCAGCCACCCCCTTTGGCTTGAGGCTGGGCAGGCCAGAATAGGCTGCAAGGAGGGGAGGCTATCCAGTAGGGGGTTGGCATAGGTCTGGTGGTGGGCACTACAAGAGGAGGTCTCAGGAGCCCATCCACAGTTCTCTGGTGCCCCAAGCATCTCACAGCCCACAATGCTGGTTGGTTGAATGCCAGTCAGCTATTCCAGCCAGCTACTGAGCTTCCTGCTCTTTTGGGGAAGCTGGAGGCAGCTCTTGCCAGCAAACATTGGAGGTAGGGGGCTGTTGAGGAGGGAATTGGGGCTCATGATGCAGAATCCCACACTATTTGCTGGCTGACATCCCCTGCTCAACTCCCCAACACGGAATCAGGGCTCAAGTTTTGGCCAGGGCCAGTAGCACCTCCCTCTGGCAATCTTCCCAGCTACTCCTTCAACTTTTAAGGGTCAGTATCTTCCCTTGCAGCAGCTGGGTGGCTGCAGTTTTTCAGAGGAGCAGGTGGGGTAGGGGCATGCAGGGCAGGCTGCCTGGGGTCGGTGTGTGGACCACTGAAGACTGCCCCCCACCCCCTAGCCCTCTGTAGTTTCCTTCTGGGGTCCACCAGCTACTCTAGAGTTCAGGAGGGTGAAAAGTTTGTCCTTGGAGCAGGAGAGGGGGAAAGACTGGGAATGGTGCATCCCAGGATGCTTCGGGACTCTGTCACGGCAGGGTCCGTCAGGAGGGCCATGATCTCCTCGAGGTCCCTCGCTCAGTGTCAAGGCCGGCCCAAGACACCCTCTTATTCTCGCCTGCCACGTCTTGCTGGTAAATATAAGGTTGGGAGGCTGCCTATGACTCCCTGGGCACAG